CCACCACACGAACCTATGGGACGAGAAAAGCATGAGCATGAGTTATTCCCGTAATAAACCTTTGAAACTGTTGATCGGTGGCAGCTTCTATTCTGAAAATTGTCCTAACTATTGTACACTATGCAACAGACAGAAAAAAGAACCATGCGGAAAATGTGACTAACATCACTACAGAATCTGTCTCGATGAAGGACTGCGCAGTTCGAATAGTTAACTGGCCGAACTAATGCTCCTATGTTAGGTTTCACATTCAAACCAGTATGTGTAGTAACCTCCGAAAAATAACGAAATTGAATAATGTTCTGTGAAACCATGAAATAAATTTAATCTAAAAGGCTAAACATGAAAGAAACGAATACATTGACTACTGGCACGTTGAACGTCCAGTTTTAGCTCCGATCGGATACATAAACAGGTGAAAATCACTGATGGGTGAGACAATAAACAGACGAATATAAGTTATGATGTCAATGACATACAGTAGGACGAGAAAGATAGGCGAATTGATGATTATGTTCCCTCAATGGCCGTTTGCAAAACCTATTATTGTAATAGTCGATCCAACTGAGACGAAATGAACCGATAGTTTTATGCGAAATGCGAGAAGATGACAATTCTTTAAGTGTTCCCGAAGCCGAAACAATCCCATCTATATGGTAAAATGTCTCGAGGAAAACTGCGAGATATTTGGAACAGTTACAGTTTGCATTTTTATGCTTCGTTTAGTATGTTTGGATTGTCTATTCGGTCAAAAAACAATGCAGAACCATAGCAACAAACGGTTGTGAAATAACAACAACTTGCCCATGTTGTTGCGAGAAGTTTAAAAGCTGAACATGCCAAACATCAGTCTAGCGTATTTGATGAAAATTTAGCCTTCTTGTTAGGAGGAATACGATCGGTATTTCATACAAAGATTTCAAATAAAATTTTCTTCTAGGTAACCCATACGGGAGAATACATTACTTAACGAAATTCCTCGCTGTCAACACCAGTTCGTATAGAATTTCTTGACCAAAGCTTTGTATTCTTTCGACTTCATCCTTCCATTTGTCTCCTTGGTGAGCAACCCCCATATCCCACGGTCCGAATTTGAGGCAACAGAACTCCGGAATACAACAATTTGCACCAAACGTGAAAAAGTGATTTGGATTTACGCGTTATTTCAAATTTCCAGACCTCAAATCATGTGTATTTGAGTGAACAAGAAACATTGGGCCAATCCAATACTCCCGACTATACACACATACACACAATGAATTATCAAGTGGCAAAACGTTGTATTGTATGGCACACCGATTGTAACAAGAAGAAACCGGGTGGACATCGAGAAAATCGGAAAGGGAGAAGGGGTAAAATAGATAATACTGTTGAGATCATTCAGAGATGACGTGGTCTTTTGGGGTTTTTTGACAAACAATTCAAAAGAAAAACAATTGGGCGCTAGAAAGAGCTGAGCAAAAGAGCCACGCCAGCTTGGATCCATTGATCTTGTGTACCAACTGGACACGGAACACGAAGATTTGCCACCAACGAATCCCGTGCATTGTCCAAATAGACGGGCAATGAGATAGACTCCTCCGAGCTGACGGGATCCGGTGAGGACTGTAATCAAACAGGAATAGGAAATTGAATACATTTCCTCAACCTATTATAGATCTTCACAACTAAACTTGTGGTTATCTGAACGGGTATAATGACTGTTTAAAACAAGCATTGTAGTCTGTTTGGATTTTTATGTTATGCATAAAAAATGTTTACTTTCAAGAGAGTGGGCGCGGGCGCCGAGGGGGGGGGAGGGAGAAGGGAGGAAAAAATCAATGACAGTGCCGATGAATTGATGGTCTTTTTCGATTAAGTATCGTTGTAAATCACACGAAACTAATGAAAGCCCACGTACCATAACAGATTCACAATGGGAATGATCCAAAGTAACATCAACTTCCAACTTCAAATAATAAAGTGAGTATCATGAGCATGTAAAAAGTAATAGAAATTAGTGGTTGAAAATTGGAGCATTGGCTGCAAGAAAATTGTCTTGATTTGACTTCATCTGACTGTTATTAGGTAGAGGTCCGTGTTGAATGTTAATGATTACCCTTTCAAAGGTCCCTACTACGTCACTCGTGCATCTATTGTTTGAAAAGAGAATATACTATGCATGTTTCGAAACCAACGTCTAACAGGAAATTCCAAATTATCCAGTGTACTCATATACAACTCAGAAATAAAGTGCATCCATGGATTTCCGTTGCCTATTTTGTGAACTGCTTCAGTTAGTTCATTCCGATTGCCTATACACAGCAGAGCAGGTTGCAATGTTTCAGTTTACATCGTATCTTATAGACTGAAAAATCAAGTGAAAGTCAATAAAGTCGAGATAACCGTTGTTCAATTTGTTTTATTTTTCATCTTGGGAATCCTGATTCCTGGTACACTGAGCAGGACGCAAGTCACAACCTAAACAAACAGATGCACTGATTATGGTGTTTCACACATTTAGCTCGAATTCATGACCTAACCAGTATTCAGTATAGTGGACAGAGGGCAGGATACCCGTGTAAGCCTCGTCACCACTCGGTCGAAGGTTCGATCAAATGTGCTCGTTCCTCCATAACCCCTTAAAGCGCTCATCCAGACGCCGTTCGAAAGCAGCGTCGGTCTTCTCCACCATAGCAACTGAAAGGGAATCTCAGATCGTCGTCGCCCTACGCGACAGTCGGTAGACTAAAGTAGACTGAAGTTTAAGCAACATCAGAAAGTGCCCCCGCGTGCGTTCCTCTGTACTTAAGGGTAAAAGCTGCTGCAACTCCAGGCCCATGTCGCCTCTCAGGATCTTCCTGAATCAGATCGAATCTCCTGTGAGGCGCCGATACGAAACTGGGAACAGACCAGTAGCCTGTAGAAGACCTTCATAGCTTGTCCCACGTAATACAACAACGAGTCTAGCGGCAGCGCGTAGTACACGCTCCAACTTAGTCACACCTCGTATTCTTTGAATCACCGTTTATGTCCATTAACGTTGAATACCGGGAGGTGCAATTGTTACAATGCTATAACCGTTGCAACTTTTGCATGTACAACACTTGCACTGCTGTGCATTTTGTGGTACCTGTAAATCTCTAGTCCCTTTAGGCACCACCAGTTTGCTCATATAGTCAGGAATGTAAGAGGCCAGGAGAGCATCGGTACTGAAAGACATTCAATCTGCTTATGTTTTGCGCGTACAGGCCACGTTCCTACTGCATATAATAATATCGACAAAAACAAGACGGTTTAAGTTCTGTTTTCTACACATAAAATATAATGATCTCGATGCGGCAGAAACCTCAAATAATTAAATATCTTGAAATGTAACTTAACCATATTTGCAATATTTAAATCAAAGGATTTCGACTGAAAACATAAGTAAAATAGTCAAATTTGCATAGAACGGGGGAAATATGCACTGGCCTGACGAGAAAAGAAAAACGAAAGGAACTGCCTGCTCGTCCGCAGAACTGAAATGAACAATCCGTTTTCGATTGAATTACGAACCAAATGTATGCAAAAAATGTAACTTATTTGTATGTTACTGACCTTGGGTATCCATAGAAGACTAACATCCGGCAAATGTGTGAGACTGGGCGATTCCGGATGACTGGGTGCCAGGCGACCACTTTCGAATAAGGCACCTTCCAGTTTGAGATTAGTAACACGTACAATAATTGATTTCATCTGCTTTTCTGAATTCCTATGGATTGAATTTGGCCACCAACAAGCTAATTTGAGACTGTCTATTGGTACACTCATTTGACGGGCAGTCTGTTGACGAACAGCATTCAGAAATGTGGAAGGCCGGAAGAGATCCGCTAAGTCCAGTGCAGGAGAGTCTCGTTGAATCAGTTGATTGTTCTCCTCTCTTTCAAGCCAGTCCTGAATGGATCAATGAATGTGAATCACTAAACCGTATACGACAATCGCTAAAGTATGTTAGGGTTTGGCTTTCAACCCTCTGGTTTCGGCGGCCCTCTTTCGGCAACCAATCTCATTCAATCGATTATTTAGGGTTAATTGATAATGTGAACAAGGTAAATGAGAACTGTGATGACCACAAATACGGGTGTTGATCGAGATCGTGCGCCCACATAAGTTTATCATTGAACCTCTTCATCCCAAAGTCTACGATAATAAGCCTCAGGCACGGGGATGTGCACGTTAATACCCCACAGCACGCAACATTTCCTCGATAGTCTTAATTTATATTTTTACTTCTTTTAGCTGGATGCTTTGTGAACGTACGAGCTATGGACTCTGACAACGGTGGGTGGCGCATCAATTGCAACATAACCGAACATCATTCGAAAAAATTGTAGGAAAATATTTCTGAAAATGACTGATAGGCATGACAGATATTGTTATTTCATGTTGTCAATACCTTGTGTACCCTCCTGTATTCTTGGGCACTTTGATCAATCATTTGTCCTAAAGTTCACCAGCTTGGCAATCAGATAGCATTTCACAGTTTACTCCTGTACATGCCGCACACTAAAAACTACTATCGAAGTAGTTGACTTTGTTTCTCTCTTAAATACAAAGAAATCATTTTCAATTACACTTAGATCCAGGCTGTTAGGTGGTATCTGAAAGAATTCGATTTCGGAACTTGCCAATCCACAAACCACCTACATGTGAAAAAATAATGTTATAAGGTCTCATCCTATTCTTCATCCAAATGGGCAGCCAAAAGACAGCAACCGAAACCGGCGCATAATAGCGTATGGTTAATGGTTGTATAAACTGAAACTGAAAATATTGCTAAAACTTCACGTGAGACATCACAAGCAGCGCTATCTAGGGAAAGTATGACTTGTCCGAACACGTTGCGATTCTGGCAGCAGCCAAAATTTGCTTTGTCAGTGAAAAAATGTTGCACCAACCAGTTTCATGTAGGGAAAACAAAAGCAAAGCGCTCAGTATTTACTTCAAACCCAAATCATCAGGTAGGATGGATATTGTTGTAACTGGTGAAACGGATTTCTTTAGAAAACTAGGTTTACAAATGGCCTTCCTCCGCCTAGTGTTTTGCTCGTCAATCAACAGGTAATCATCACTTTGACAAATCGAACGCCAAATAGACAGACGTTGTGCTCTATTGACGAAATCAATGCGTGTCCTCCTTTAATGGGCGTTCGATAGGGGCGTCCCATCAACTGAACTGAACTGTAATTCAAATTTATTCTTCCTTTCCCGAACGGTGGCACACGAAAATTTCGTCTAACCACCACTTAACTACCCTCCATATTGGTTCTTTGAGGCCCTTCTCGGTTAAAACCGAATCTAATCATCGTCTTGCTTCGGTTTGGTTGGTTTCCTTCCCCTCGTTGCTTTCTTCTTGGAGAAAACCCTGTGATTTTGCGATAGATCGTGTTTATGTTTTCATCGCAGCACTTGCACTAGTTAGGGACTGGGATGCCGGATTTGTGCGCCCCTAATACGCTGCTTTTTGCTCCAAATACATAAGCAAAACTTTCGGATGCCTCGTCCGATTTGGGTACGGTGACATAACAAAACTATTATTCAACGGCCAGTCCATCTCAACGTGGACTTTTGTGGGTTGATT